CACAAATACCCCCTAACGATACACACACCACCATGAGCCCCAGCAGTGTGATTAAGAGTGTAAAGACATAGCTGCCTCCAGAAAGGCAGCAAAAAGGAGTGTGTCAGGAGTGGGAGGAGGTTCATGGTTTTCAAAGCCAGTACCCTGAGCTGTTACATGCAGCCAGCAACCAGTCTGTACTGAACAAGCACCCTGGCCTGGGAAAACGCCCCGAGCAGTGGCAGGGAGAATGAATCAGACAGGGCAATAGTGCCCTCTGGTGGTTGAAGAGGAAGGTGTTTCAGTTTAAGGAGTCACAACAGCTTCCTTTACATGATCTCTTGTGATTCTGGTCACGGCCAGGATAAGAAATATTTGAGACTGTTCTCTTGCCTCCAGAAGATGCCATTTTATGACATTTCTATTTCATCTGAAAAGATGACACATTTGGTTTGGCATTGCTTGCTGTGAGTCACCTGACAGCCACATTGTTTGCCGCCTCTTTGGTGGCTGATTAAGGAGTTTATTTCATGCTAAATTTGACAACATAAACTCTACCTTAATAGCAAAAAATTAGTGAATGTTCTGAACCCCCAAAAATATAGAGTAACCATGTATGAGTAAGCGACAAGGCCATGGATATGGATGACAGCAATGTTGCCACTGGATGTTATCAGCATGATTGATTAGGTTATGATTATGACTGAGGTGATTGGATATTTGAATAGCATTCTAGTGATGCTACAATTGCTTCTTTATGCTGATTTGAATTTGACAACTTATTTATTATAATGAACATAAAATCACAAATTGCTACAATTATAATGACATGGCAACAGTATGTAGAAATTAAAGAATAAAAAAAGGTCTGGTTTATCTCACCATGAATATGATTGGAATCTGCAATAGGTCACCTGTTTCCCTCTCCCTCCTGTGCCTTGCATTGCACTTGCACAATCTTCAACATATCTGGTGTAATGCAGTTTCTTCTCATCTGAATAAATTGTTTTCCTCATCCATCATTGTTCATTAGCAAGCATTCTTTGCCACCCCCAGCTCTCAGTGCTCGATTACAATGGTTCCTTCTGCCTACACATTCCTATAAAAGGCACACTACCGAGCTGGCCAACACAACCTGTCCCCATTCTAGCAAAAACAAACAAGCTGTGGCAAATTTTATATTTTACATTTACAATTAAACTTCCCAGAGCAGTTTTACATTAAAAAAAAGCAGCTCAAGGACACAGAAACATACGTCATTGTGGACACGTTGCTTTAATTACAAAAACATCTTTGGAAAATGTCGATGGTTGCTATCCAATTTAATTTCAACTGATCAAAAGAGACGGAAAAATGAAAGTAGTGCTGTAACACTTGCAAGTGTGTTCACAGTTCAACTACAGCAGTAAACAGACAATACCTTCATAACAGTATTGCTTTTGGTCATTATATCCAGTGGAGAGAGTGGCTGGTTCTGCAGTATAATAACCAGTGTTGCACTTAATGAAATAAAGCTTTTCCTTTGAGCTCCTCCAGCAATTAAATGCTACTGCAGCAAGACACTTCTAAAGCAAACATAAAACTACAACATAGCTCATAACACGGCCAAATGTCCCTCTTATTTTTCACATCAGCACAGCAGGGTGGTTAAATGGTTAATGGCACCATCCTTAGAGGCATTTATCTAGACATCTGGTGACTGGGGGTGGAGGGGGTTCAATATCTTGAGCAGCTTACCCTGCACTTTGATCTCCCTGGTTGGAAGTGATAAGAAATCTTCCCTTAGGGTTTCGCCACAGTGCCATATTACTATTCATTATGAAAGAAAGCAGTCGTGATATTTAGAATTAGTGATAACAGGCTTTAAATTTGCCTAAAGCCCAGCAAAACAGAAACACAATCTTAAGTGGTGTCTCTTTATGCCAATCTGATGTATTACTTCACTTTTTTGCTGTGTTGCCTTGTGACAACCTTTGATTGCACTAGGAAGATGTAAAGGTGATGTCACGTCTGTTACATGTTTTGAACAGGGCACCTATGACAAGCCGTTTTAACATTTAATCGCTAGACTGGATATTCATTACTGATATCTGCAACATAATTTTACCTAGTCAAAACTCTAATTACAGATATCTGTAATTCAGTTTTGACTAGTAAGATTCAAACTACTTTTGCCATTCATGTGTATGAAGCTCATAAGTTTGTCATTATAGATATCTCCAATGTAGTTGCGGATATCTGCAATTCTTATTGCAGATATCTGCAACTGAATTGTAGATATCTGTAATTCCAGTTTAAGATATCTACAATTTAATTTTGACTAGTCATAATTCAAGTTCAAGATATCTTTAATTATCATCAATTGAAGATATCTACATGGTCCTTTCTAGATATCTTGAATTGAGTTTCATATAGTCAGAATGACGTTGTAGATATCTTGAATTCGAATTATGACTAGTCAAAATGACGTTGTAGATATCTGCAACTGAATTATGACTAGTCAAAATGACGTTGTAGATATCTACAACTGAATTATGACTAGTCAAAATGATGTTGTAGATATCTCAAACTGGAATTATAGATAGTCATAATGTAATTGTAGATATCTATAATGACAAACCCCATACACATGAATGGCAAAAATAGTTTGAATCTTACTAGTCAAAACTGAATTACAGATATCTGTAACTGTAGTTTTGACTAGTCAGAATGACATTATAGATATCTGTAATTCAGTTTTGACTAGTCAGAATGGCATTATAGATATCTGTAATTCAGTTTTGACTAGTCAGAATGACGTTACAGATATCTGTAATTCAGTTTTGACTAGTCAGAATGACGTTATAGATATCTGTAATTCAGTTTTGACTAGTCAGAATGACGTTACAGATATCTTCAATTAAAATTCATACTAGTCACAATGACATTACTACTAGTCAAAATGACGTTGTTGATATCTATAATGGTAATTCCGGATAGTCAAACTTAGCGATTAAATGTTAAAACGGCTTGCCATAGGGCACCATCTTGTGAGATATGTGTTTTACCTGTACAGGACAGCATTATAGTACCAGCGCCATTCACCAAATGAGCAGCACTGCTAGCTAACTTCCACCCGACCAGGCCTGTGTGTAGTGCAGAGTGGGCAAGGCTAGCCAACCAGTGGGGATGGAGGGTGTGCAGTGGGTGTTATTTTTCGACACGTTAATTCGGTAAGCAGGCTGTCTGTCAGCAAAGCCAACAGAAAATAAAGTAAAAGAGAAGACATTTACATCACAAAACATTACAATTTCAACATCTCTAAGTGGATAGCATTTTGAAATGCAGCGTTAAAGCTCAATGACTTGGTCGAAGGCCACCCTAAAAAGAAAGGCCTTTTGTATTTCACATCAGATTAACCCCAGAATTTAATCAAAATTAACCAAAACAAACATCCCTGACTGAGTGCATACAGTTGGTGGGACGCGATCCACAAGTGGGTCACGGTCCATTCTGAATGGACATTAAGTGACTCGTGAACGTGTCTACACACTTTATTTTCACATAGGCTACAGTGAATTTCCAGCACAGAGTTTTTATTTTAAAATGCCGTTTCCCGCTGTAGAGTTAGTGACCAATGGACAGTTTCTTGACAGAGTCAGCAAACTAGCTCGATGACATGGCCAAACGCAAGTATGACACTGAATGTATTAAACTGTGAGGACCTTAAACTAATGACTAAGGAGAAATCTGGACCCAGTGACTGGACTAGTAGGGAACCACTGCTCTTTACACAGCCTATGAGTTCTCTATACTTTAAATAAAGGATTGATTCATAGACTTGCTCCTATAACCCTGCTTGCACATCCATGTCGCCATAAATACTGAAACTCAGGAGCTGCTGAGTAAAACCTTTTTCATACTGACCAGCAGCAGCAGCAGAGAGCTGAGTGACTCTACAATCACTAATACCAGTAATCATGGAGTAAGAGGCAAACTATCACCAGCTTGTCAGTTTACTAGGTTTGCCCCCCAACAACCATTTGCAGGTGAGACTGACCCTGACAATAGCAAATAACTAGATATACCCAAAATCATCTTTGTTGAGTTTCACAGGAAAACCTACAATCACAGCCCAATATACTGTGAAACAACCATGTCACAGATCACCGTTGTTTTCATATGATCAGCTAAATTGCTCTGGTCCCTGCAATGTTTTTGCATAGCCTACTTCTTAATCAGATGTGTGGACGTAGATAAATCAATCCTGCGCGAGAGCAGAGTAAAGTTAAGAGCTAAACCGTGACTATACACGCTGCAGGCATACAGTTCCATTTTCATTCCAATCCCATATGCTGACATTTGCACAAGGAATTAATCATGCATGCAGACAGCCATGCATATTCACAGAAACACCAGGGATCCATTCCCAGGGAGTCCTCAATGTACAGGCAAGATGCTAACTAAAAGACAAGGCAGTCTCAGGCAAGACAATTACACACACACACACACACACACACACACACACACACACACACACAACCTCACAGTCAATTACTCAAGTGCACTTTATGTCAGTGCCTATGAGGCAAAGATAAAATGTTTAACATAGCCCTTCACTGTGTTACTGAATGTCATTAAGACTAGATTGTGATCATGTTTTTCAGGCCTTTAACACCCAACATGTTAGCACTGAGGCAGTATGGTCAAACATAATTATTTAGCTTCAGCTGATTAATGATTAAATGATTAGCCTATCCCCCCCTTTCCAGTGCTAAGGAAAAATACAATAACAGGAAATAGTCAGTGAAATGTGGCTTATTAAAACTAACAACTCTTACCTTTTTTGCTGTACTTCTCAGATAGTATCAACTAAATGTTGGTATACGAAATGACAGTATTCAGTCATTTTACCCACTGGTATTTTTGGTTGGAAACTGGTGAGGCAAACCCTAAAATGTACCCAGTTTTACAGACTGACATCTTTTCCCATTTCCTACACAGTTAACCACAGGTGATAATGTGACTGGGAGAGCACATACCTGTTTCTCCTGGCTGTTAAACTCCCTGTTTGTGTGCGCTGTCCATTTGGGTCTTTCAGTTTTACAGCGTTGTCCTGCTGCTTTTATGTTTTGTAATCCTCTCACAAAGTTCCCTGAGATTCTTCGAGCCTGTTGTTGTTGACCAGGTACCATCCTCTCCGAGTGACACACACGGCTACACACACGAAAAAAGCGTCTTCTCCTAAAAGCTAAGTTAGCAGCTAACATTAGCCTGCTCTTCCTGGGTGACGCCAGCTCCTTAAATCTTATTTTTACCAGGAGTTTGGTTTATAATATTCCACGGCTGGTGGTAATCGAGCTGTTTAACCGCAGGGTTTTCTTCAAAACGCAGACAACGCAGTTAATCATTTGTATCAAAAGAAATCAGGGAACTATCTTTAGTTAGCTACGGGCCAGCGGGGTAACAGCCAATCAGTCCCACGTGACATCTAATTAGTGCCACCTGCTCATAATGCCACAGGTTTGGGGCATGCCTGCTATTGTAATGATTAATTACAGTAGCAACCAAGGATTTTTTATATATACATTAATCTAGAATTCTATTATTATATATAATTACTGTGTCACTTAAATTACACTTTTTTCTTCCTGCCACCAACATTTACATTAATTTGCCTTCAAAGATGAGATTCAGACATAGAAGATAATTAACAAAACAAATATGCAATGACCATATTTACATCAAAACTGCTGAATAACAGTAACAAACACTGCCCCTCTCCCATCACACCCTCTGAGGCTACAACCTGATCTGATTTGTTGCAATATTTGCACAATAGTGCACTTCATTTTTAGACTCAGGTTTGTAACTTCAGTTTGCTGCTCATTTGTTTATTTATTTTTCTTAAAAACTATCTTTTAATCTAATTTTATTGTTTTGCGTGAAGGGAGACTGGCAATTAAGTTTATTTAATTTTATTGTGTGGTGTAAACTGCTGTGTTTTTACTGAGCACAGGACAATAAACTTCTTGAATCTTAAATCTCAACATAATTTTTTTTCCACAGCACAAATTGCTGTACATTTTAAATGTTTATAGGTAGGTATTTTGCTTTCTTCAAGTGTCATGTCTGGCGTTAATACTTGAGGATCTTGTGTGATTTAGTGGCATCTAGCGGTGAGCTTGCAGACTGCCAACATCTGAAATGTCTACTGTGCTCCAAACATGTAGGAGAAGTAGGCTATATGGTGACCAACTGAAAACACAAAACGTGAGCCCTATCTAGAGCGAGTGTTTGGTTTGTCCATTCTGGGCTATAGTAGAGACAACATGGCAGACTCTGTGGAGGAGGACCTGCCATGGCCCCATGAAGTGCGCCTATAGACTGTAAAAATAATGGACGTAGCTACCATGACATCACCCACTGGTTTGTGGTCTCCTATTTTGAAGCCTCGAATTCAGCATTTCGGCCGTCGCCATTTTGGTTTTATGGAGCCAGAAATGACCATATTTGGATGAGAGGCAGGCACTGTAGAGGAGCGACAGCTGGATCTGACTGAGACTGAGGACACTATCGGCAGACAGTCTGTCACTCAAAGCGACCTGCCCTTAATTATGCATGACTTTAAGCCTTAATTAAATGTAAATGGGTGAGTTATAAAAAAAATATCACCCCTCGTACAATTTTCATGAAGGGGGAAATTAGCTATGGAGACCAATAATGTTTTTTGTAACAGGCTGTAAACATGTTTATTTCTGCTGTAAATTTGGGCAGTTTAACATGGGGGTCTATGGGGATTGACTGGCGTCTGGAGCCAGCCTCAAGTGGCCGTTTAATGAACTGCAGTTTTTCACAACTCCGTGTTGGCTTAATTTTTCAGCCGTGAAGGTTGCTGCTTATGTTATGCCATGGAGCACAAAAAAACTTTTTCCCAGAGATTACATTGGGAAAGAGACATCTGTAAATCAAAAGCTACATTTTTTGAGCGTAACAACCTCTGCACAGTGACTGGTTTCACTATTAGAATGCAATCCATTTAGACCGTAATGAATGGGATCCCACCTCCAACGCTGTACCCAGGTATCCAGTTCTCTTTATACATTCATTGGACCCGCTCCATATGTAAATATAAATAGCTCACTCATAGGTCACAAAAACACAATGGTTCTTAGTTTCAGATTATTGTACTCTAAGAAAAACATGGTTATTGAAATGATATTCTATTTCTCCCATAATATCCCCAGGATTCCTACACACTAGACTCTTAAATACCAGCAGGCTTTGTTAGTTCACTAATTGATCTTAGCTTTGAAAACACAGGTTCCAGATGAAAAATCATTGCCAGCATTTAGCTTCCGCTTGCACAGACCTGGAATTAATCAGTTTGTTGAAAAATAGTTAAAATAGTTACCACAGTTTTTATACTAATAGGCTTTTTGTCAAGTAGGAGTGTAACTTACATAGAAAAAAAGAGATGAGAGGGACTGGAGGGAGGTCCCCTCCAGCAGCACACTCCTGCTGAGGCTGGCATTTAATTAAAAGAGAGAGAATGTGTTTTGCCCTTAGTGCTGGCATCAACTAAAAAGTCGCTTTTCAAAAAGGGCATAAAGCCTGTAGGTGAGTCAGTGCATATTAGGTATACTCATCTGCTTTAGCAATGCTTTAAAAGTTTCATACTCTTGAGGTCAGGGCACAAGGTAGGGTCATTTGATAATGTTGCAGACTATTGTTATGCATCACCCATCCTTAGGGCATTTAAGCCTTTAAGTACTTCCTCATTTCTTCATTGACTACTTGTATTGTGTAAATTGAACTAAAGACAGAACAGGACATGACTTTTGATACTCACTTATCACATGCATAAACTTTATCATTAAACACTATAACACAGACATTTGATTTTAAAAAGTTATATTTTCACAAATTACTGAGAGATAGAATTTGGAACCTTTCAGCTCTATGTGGTTACCATACATGTTGCTTATATGTTTATGTAGGCTATTGAGTTTGTTTCATTTTTCAAAATAAAATAAAACAATAAAAATAAAGTCAGTAAAAACAACTTCAGAGTTTTTTTCAAAAAGTAAAATAGCTGAAATCTGCACATTTAAAATATTCCCAGGGTTTGAAATGTAGGCCTATATAAAGGTCATAGATTTTTTTTTTTTATGCTCAGTGACTTCAAACTGGGTCTTATTTAATTAGGAGAATTTTGTCTACCTTTTGTTGTTTATAGAAACTATGACTATATAGTGTCGCAACTGCCCCTGGGTAACAGAGCAGACACAATTCATCCTCCTGTGCTAGCTACTTGCAAAAATTCAAACAGCAGCACTAACACTAGCATCAACTGACAGGCCAGAAAATCAGCTTTCAACAATATGTTTTTTTGTATGTAGCATACATAGAAACGGTAGAGTAAATGAAAAATACCAAAAGAGCCAGAAATGTACATACATGCAGTAGTTTTCAAGACTTGAAAGTGAAGAGAGTTTGGCTGAGTATGAGCATGGTGAATGACATTGGCATTGGTGCCTTATTGCTGTCTAACTTGCTAATAAGGCGCTGTTCCAACTCTCCCCCATCTCAACCGACCCGCCCTCTCTTAATATAGATGCTCTGTTTCCCCATCAGACGGAGACAATCTATGTCTCTCTCCCTCAGTTAAATTCAGTTCAATTCAGTAAGCTTTACTGGCATGACATTTCACCAAGCAGATGTTGCATTTTAGTCCGGTCAGAGAGTGAATCGAAAGCTTGGAGTTTACATTTTATTTTTGTGAAGAACTGTGGTCTGATGTCTTCATATGCGCTGCATTGTAGCAGGAAATGTTGCTCTGTCTCCACCTGTCTCTGAGGACAGAGCTGACACAGCCTGTCTTCTCCAGGCAGCCAGGTCTGCCCGTGTCTGCCAGTGTCTGTCTCTCTGTCTCTTCCTCAATGTTGCAATTGTGCAGTTTGGCCACTAAGTGTGGCTGTAAGTCCACAGTTGAGTCAAACACCAGCAACATATAAGGCATGCACTGTGAGACTGAAAGCCATAGTTATCATCAGGGATGCTTTTGGGCACTGCAGTGCTGTGGTACAGAAATATGTTTAATGCAAAATGCTATGGTTATTTCTCAGTGCTACTTCTACTTATATATTCACACATCTGTGAAACCAGATCAATGAGTGAGTGAGCAGCTCTGCCACAGAAGATGGGGGTTACATGCCTTCAGCGATGTAGTGCACCAAACATTTCTGAGGGGGCACAGTTTCACCTGAACATGTCCTTAAGGAATACCAATACTGAACATATGGATATGGATATTCATGATAAAACACAGAATATAAAGAGCAAGAACAAGTTGTATCGGAGAGATTCTGAATATAAAATATTTGATGTAGTTTGATTTTGCATTACATTTTGTAAATAATTACTAAAATGCACCTTAATGGTGTTTCTTAATGAGAGGGAAAGAGTATGCAGCACTTAAAAAGGGAGTTAAAAAAGGGATGCAAACCATCAATTTTATGTAATTATATAACTCCTACAACCTGGAGAAAAAGTGTCATTAGCAAGAGTTGTTCTATTGACTATGACAAACCTCCTGTGGAGCCTATTGTAGGTGAGTGACTGCAAAAGGCAAAAAAATCCTTACTTTTGATTGTTCTGTTTGTTCCCATGTCTGTAGATATATTCATTCAACAGCGACTCATAAGAAACATCTTATGTTAAGCATGTAGTTATCTCTGTTATGTGTGACAACAAGAAAGAGACAATAGAAGAAGAATTCAAGGCACACGGTTACGTCATGCAAAAAAATGTAAAAGCCTTTATTCACTTCGCGTGTCACATGTCGGCTACCTGACCTTACACAAGCAATTACTAGCAAAGTACAGGTATAGGCGTAGTTATACAAGTATAGACATATTTATTATAACTTTTGCTCATCCTGTGATTAATATTTTTGCACATCCTGCACATAACTGTACAGCTGTGTTGATCTAAAACAACTATATTGCATATATTGGTTATGTCATGGTACTTATTAAGTATCTTTGTCATATTGTTATGGTAACTTCTCTATTCTATATTCATGTTCTTGGGTGTTGCAGTACTTTGCCTTATTTCTAGTCCCCTTAATATGTTTGTTGTGTGATTAGCGTATGCCCCAAAAACCAAAGCAAAGTCCTTGTAAGTGAAAACCTACTTATCCTCAGTCTGATTTCTCTGATTCTGATTATCTGATTATGTGCTGGTTATGCAAAAAGAATTGAATATTATTAATTATTACATATAATTAGATTTTTATTATCGGTGCATAAACATGCAAGCAACATTAACTGTTTCTGCAGACGTCAAGGTGAAGCTTACAGACACAACAGTTTCCCTGCTGGGTTTTTGGTTTGCTTCGCACAAATACAATTCATTTAAATAGTACAAGATATTACATTTAAATATACATACTGTAATCTTTATAA